GGGGGGGGGGGGCGTAATCTGTGCTTGGTCATGAGACGAGTCCAACACCTGCTTAGTCAGGAAGTCCGGGGACCCTGTGACCCTCACACTGGCCGGCTCCTAGCCAGGCACACGGCCTCTTAAGATGTTTGAGGACCAGGCACATCCGGGTCTGGCCAAGAGGGGCCGTGTGCCAAAGTGTCAGGTGTCCCAATCTCTGACACCCCAGCTTTGCTACCCTGGATCAGTGGCTGGTGTTTACCGCCAGCCTGTGACACGTCAGAACATTCTTCGCTCGGAAACACTGCAAACATCTCCCGATCGTAAGAAGCCTTAAAAGAGGCTCGTTTCCCCCCGTTAAGAGCACACAGGCCACACTGTAAGCCTACGGGGGGGGGGGCAGCTTCCTGAGTTCTGGGAAGGAAAGGGGGCCTCCCGGTGCTGGTGCTACAGCCGGAGAGCGCTGCTCCGGGAGGAGAGCCCCGAGGACAGAGGCCCCCTGCCTCCCCGCAGCGGAGGAATCAGAAGAGAACACGTTCCTTCTCCGAGGCCCTGGAATGACCTGTCAGCACTCGGATCCCGGCGGGTGACCGCGCACCCTGCTCACCTCCTGTTCTTCCGCCTTCTGCCCCTGGGAGGGCTCCTCCTCCCCAGCAAACGTCGGCGGGATGCTGTTGTTAATGTTGAACGTCACCGTGATCCTACAGAGGCGAGAGAAACCTCAGGAAGGGCTGTTTTCACTCGGTATTTAGCTGAGTAAAGTGCCGAGCTGTGCTACAGTTACAAATGCCGATGGAAACAATGTCTCTGATGCCACAGACTCGACTGTACAGTTTCCCGAACAGCCGGGTGGCTCGGGCCCCAAGATGGACTTAGCAGCCGTGACTGTGCCCCCCACGCGTCAGCTGCCGGAAGTCACACCAATGGGCCCGGACCGGCCCCACTTTATCTCCACCAGATCCAGTCCTGTGTGGGCCCCTTCGGGCCGGTGGCGCCCCAGGGCCACACCCGCTGGTTATCCCCCCAGGGCCTCCGCCCACCCTGCTCTTGCCCCGGGCTCCCTCCAGTGGCAGTGACTGAGAAAGAGCTGGGATGGCAGAGAAGAAGCCTCTGGGGAAAGCTACCCCCAAGGGGGGGGGGGG